AATGCAGGTAGGCTTCTCTGAGTATTAGTTTTTTCATATAAAATAAAAATAATGGTAGGCTTTATAGTTTGATGAAGATTAAATTAGCTAACAGATGAAAAGTGCTTGCCCCCAGTTAATGTAAACTTTTCTTTCCCCCATCTTCCCCCGCCCCGAGATAAAACAGAATTTCCTGTATCTTCTCAAAAATAAGATTCACCTACAGAATGTCTCTAATTAATAGATCAGTACATATTGTTTCCTTCACAGTACGTACTGGTCTATTACTTCATCTGCCTGGTAATAGAAAGCATAGTCTATTAAAAGTATTATATAGGACTAGATTTTGGGGTTTTTGTTCATTAATATAGGGTCTCATTGACCTTTTGGACTTTGCTTTTCTAAGACCTAAATTTTATAGTGATTTGGAGTTTATATAACATTCTTACTGTGATGTTTGTGGTCTTCTAAAGGTTTAAGTATAAAAGGGATTCAAATAAACTTGCAAGTTGAAAGTAAAAAATTGGAAAATTTCCAGTTATTGACATATAACTCACAAATTGTGAGAGGTTTTTGTTTTTTGTTTTGCAGTATTAGGATTAAACCTAGGAGTGTTCTACTACCGAGTTATCTCCCCAGTCCTTTTCTAACATTTACTTTGAAACCGGGTCTCAGTAAGTTTCCTAGGCTGGGATCAAACTTGATCCTCCTGCCTTAGCCTCCTGAATACTTGGAACCACAGGTATGTGCCACTACACCTAGCATAAGAGTATTTTTATACTTATATAGAAAGGTTTTTTTTGTTTGTTTTTTGGTAGGGTTTTTTTGGTTGTGGTTTGTTTTGTTTTTTTGTTTTTGTTTTTTTTTTTGGTTTTTTGTTTTTGTGTGTGTGTGTTTTGGTTTTTTGAGACAGGGTCTTTACATATAGTTTAGGCTGGCCTTGAACTCACTATGTAGCCCAGGCAGGCATCAAACTCATGGCAGTCCTCCTGCCTCAGCCTCCCGAATCCAGGGATTATAGGTATGTGCTGCCACACCTGACAGAAAATATTTTCTATGATAAGCTTGAGCTGCCAAATACTTGAGATATTTTTGCAAAGAATTAATTTTAGGTGTGTTCATCTGTAGAAGAATGTACTAAGTAAAGTCTTGTTTACTCTCAAGATTTTTTTCTTAAAAGTTTTGGTTGAAAACCAAAACTCTGGGTTTCCCATTCTGTAGGCTAGTATAAGGGAGACTTCGGGCAAATAACCAAGTGCTGTGCCGCTGAGCTAAATCCCAGCCTTATTTTTTATTTTGAGACAGGGTCTCACTAAGTCATTAAGTTGCCCAGGCTGGACTCAAACTTGCAACCTTCCTTCCTCAGCTTCCCAGAGTGCTGGGATTACAGATGTGTACCACCACACTCAGCAGTTGTTTTTTTTTTTTTCATTTCTCTACTTGCCTAACTCATGCTTTTTACTTTTTACTTTTTGGACACAAGAAATATACTTGTCATAACTTTTCTAACATCTTTGTCTACTTTTTGTTTGTTTGCTTGAGACAGGGTCTCACTATAGTATAGGCTGGCCTTTAACTCACTGTGTAGCCCAGGCTAGCCTCCAAGTCAAGGCAGTCCTCCTACCTCAGCCTCCCAAGTGCTGGGATTATAGGTATGTGCCACCACACCTGTCTACTAATTTTTTTTTCTCTTCTGGTGCCAGGAATCGAACTCATGCCCTTTTGCTTTCCAAGCAGGTGCTGTGCCACTGAGCTAAACCCCCAGCCCCTCTACTAATTTTTAATTTATGTTTTTTTTGAGTGCAGTTGTGGTATGTGTGCATGTGTGTGTTTGTGCTGGGAAGGGTAGAACTCAGGGTCTCAGGCATGCTGGGCAGACACTCTACAACTGAGCTATATTCCAGCCCTCAGAGTCCGTTTCTCAGAGTAATGTTTTCTCTAATTAATTTTTTCTTGCTTATGGGTCATACTTTCCTGCTTCTTTGCATGTCTTACAATATTTCACTAAATACCAGTCATTGTGGATTTTATGTTGATGAGTATAAGATTTTAAAATACATTGCTTAGACTTGGTTGGGGGAGTATCTTGGATGTAGTTAAGTCTAAATCTGTTTCATCTTTTCAAGTACTGCCTGTTTTTCTTTTCTTTTTTTTTCTTTCTTTCTTTTTTTTTTTTTTCAAGCAGGGTCTCACGATGCAGTTCAGGCTAGCCTTGAGCTCACTTTGTAGCCTAGGCTGGCCTTGAACTCACAACGATCCTCCTGCCTCAGCCTCCCAAGTGCTGGGATTATAGGCATGCGCCACCACGCCCAGCTAAGTACTGCCTGTTTTTCAAAACTGGTTTTTAAATGTGATGAGGGCAGCATTTCAAGGAATTTGATGCCTTACTGAAGCAGTACTCTTTGTGATTATGTCCTATGTACAGTATGAATCTTACTGCTCTGCCTGATGGGAATATAAAATGTTCCTGACTGTGTGTGAGTCTGAGGGATTGTTCTACCTATTCTTTTATGGGGGTTCCTCTTTAGGTGTTCATGATTTTCTCTTCTGTGTGTATAGATTAATACTTAAAGACTTGGGTGATCTTTGCAGATTTCTACAGCACTATATGTCTGTTTAACTACCTTTTCTCTGATGTTCTGCTTCACAAATGTAAGTTGCCTTCTGTTTTCTGAAGTCACCAAGATGGCAGTCTATTTCAGTGCCCCTTCACTACGTTCACGCTGTCCAGCCAGGGACCCTGGGGCACACAGAGGGCTCATTGTGTCTTTCTTCTTTGTGTTGCTTTTCTTTTTTCTTTTTTCTTTTTTTTTTTGGTACCGGGAATTGAACTCACGACCTCACGCTTGTCAGACGGGCGCTTGTGCCACTGAGCTATACCCCCAGCCCTGTGTCTTTCTTTTTTCAGGTATTGGTGTTCTGTACTGCTTGTTGTTTACTGTTTGAAAACCAGGCATTTTCATATATTGTGTCCAGTTTTTAATTATTGAAGGCTGGAAGGTGAATTCTATTATCAATGTTGGAAGCAGAAATTCATTCCTTTTTTTTTTTTTTTAGAAATTCATTCCTTTAAACTTGTCCTGTTGGGTTTTTGCTATCATGTCAGTTCTTTAATGTTTTTAAGAATCTTTAAAAACATTTTTTTCAGCATGTTTAGTTCAAAAATTTTAATGGAAAGTTTGGTTCAAGTAGTCTAGGCCAGTGGTGGCAAACCTGTGGCCACATGTTTTTTTTTTTTTTTAAGACAAAAGCTGTTAATGTACAAATTATTTTTTCCAAACTAAAACGTTGGTATTCAGGTTTAATTGTAGTGTTGGAACTTTGTGATAAATAAGTGGATTTTGGGTTGGAGTTTAGGCACTCAAGTCTAAACGATTTACCATCACTGGTCTAGGATACAGCTATGGTTTGACTATGGTTCCCCAGCCCCAACTCATGCAGGAATTTAATTCCCAAAGTCTCATATATTAATAGTATTAAGAGAATGTAAACTGTGGTGGATTAATTAATGGTCAGTTTAAGTGGGAACGCCCCGCTGAACTGAATGAACATGGTTTTGGACGTGGAAAACCTACCTGAGGATTGTTGCAGTGGCATAAAAGAACAGCGGGGGAGGATTGCGTGCTGTTGATTTTCCTGGAGTAGCTTACTGCAACTGGTTTTCCTGATATGTACTCAGCTGTTCTTGTCACTGAAGGAACACAGGTCCTTGCTGTCACCAGGGATGTCTGCTGTTTTCTTCAGGGAGCTCTGGTCTTCACCTCTGTCTTGAGTGTTGTTTCCTGGCTCCAGTGCAGATCCCTCAGGCTTCTGGCACAGATCTTTTACCCTGGCAGCGCAAACTTTCTAACTTCTACCACTGGCTGTTGGGCCTTCCTCGGTGCAGATCTTTGACAGGACTTGCATGAGGCATTGTTGTGGGCTCTAGGCCTCTGGCTTGACTCGTGTAGGACATTGCCATGGGATCCAGGCCCTCGGCTGGATTCTTTGGATCCCTACTATTTGGACAGATCTCTTGCACTCATCTGCATCGGACTTTTTTAGTGAATATTATTAAATAATTCTATAAATTATGTATGTTGTATTAAATCTATTCTCTTGCAAACCCTGATTGCAACAGAAACTTATTCTGACTATGGTATTTAGAAGTGAGGCCTTTAGGAGATCATTTGAAGTAAAATAAAATAATTAGGCCAGAAGCCCCCATGGTTAGAATGCCCCATGGAGGCAATTAAAGCAGAGAAAGAGAGACACGGAGAGATATGTATGTTCCCTGTTTCTTGCCACCCCAGGACTCTGCAAGCAAAGTCATCACCAGAGAGGTCCCTAAACCTTGTATCACCAGAACTATTAGGATTACGAGTTCAAAGACAGCCTGGAAACTTGGTGAGACTGCCTCAAAATAAAATGAAAAGTGTTGGAGATACAGCTCAGGGGCAGAGCACTGGCCTACCTTGTGGGTTCAGTTTCCCCTACTACCCACAAAAGGTGGCCTACCTTGAGTATTTTTTAGAGTAATAAAAATGGACTAACACAACTAACATTATTGGAAATGGAAATCCTTATTGCCTTTTTTTTCTTTTTGAGACAGGGTTTCACTATGCAGTTCAGGCTGGCTTTGAACTTATTTTGTAGCCCAGGCTGGCTTTGAACTCACAGAAATCCTCCTGCCTCAGCCTCCCGAGTGCTAGGATTATAGGAATGCATCACCATGACCAGCTATTGCCTTTTGAAAAATACAATAAAGATTCTGTGGCATCTTCACAAAAATGGAACAGTTTGGTGAGAGGAGGTGGATAATGCTGTGCTTCTCCCAACAGTCAAAAGGATAAGATAAATAGTACATGTTTTAGGTAGGCCTAGGTAGAATTCCTGGACTTGGTCTAGTTTGTGTGATGTGCATACTAGATGGTATGTTACTAATAGGCTAGCAAGTAGAATTCTCATATAGAAAATAATGTAATACGTTTAAGGAAGTCAGACTGAAACAGTTATGATGGGTTGTTTTAATTTTTACCTAGATATTCTACATTTCCTCGTTTTTCTACACCATCAGTTATATATGGTATCTGTACACAGAGCTGAGGATGAAACACAACCAGAGTGGACAGAGCACATCTCCACTGGTAAGTTTTACTCAGAACTAATAGTTAAAAATAGTATGTCAGGACTGGTGATATAGCTCAGTGGCACAAGTGCCTGCCTGGCAAGCGCAAGGTCCTGAGTTTGATTCCTGGTACCAAAAAAATAAATAAATAAATAAATAAAAAATAGTATGTCAGCCACGCATGGTGGTACAGACTTGTAATCCCAGCACTTGGGAGGCTGAGGCAGGAGGATTGATGACAGCCTGACTTACAAAGTGAGTTCAAGGCTAGCCTGAACTGCATAGTGAAACCTGTCTCAAAAAAGATAAAAAACAAATAAACAAACAAAAACTTAAAAAAAAAGAATACTATGTTAAAATAAACCCGTATATCACTGACAGAAAGTATTAGCATGCAGCATGAGCTAGGTGAACTTGTGAAGGTTAATCAGAGAAAAACTGTGTTCTCACAGGTTTTCTATTCTCGTATTACTTCCTCCCCACTCTGCTATGTTTTATTATTGGAAACATTTTTAGTGCTAACATTCATGCCTGGTTTGATTCAGTAAGGGAAATCTTTGACTCCAAGCCAGGCCATCATTGTTACTAGAGTAAAGAAAAAGGTCTCAGAGAAGAGCCAGGGAACTGTGCTTTGTCAGCTAACATGGGCTTTAGGGTTACAGGTATTAGAAAAGGGGAGAGTTTGTTCTAGTCTGCTGTGTCTTTAGTATGTATTGGTTTGCAGAAGGGCAAGAGGAGTCATTGTGTGGTAGTCAGAAAACAAAATGGATCTAGAGAGCAGTTGTCCTTCCTTTTTTAATTTACAAGTAGAATTTGAAGCACCTAGCATTATAGTGATAAAAGAGAGGAGAGTGCTAAATCATTAATCAGGATTTTTTTGTATACATTACATATCACATAATTCATCTATTTCAGTTGTATAATTCAATGTGTTTTTTTTCTTTTTGTCTTTTTGAGACAAGGCCTTACCATACAGTTCAGGCTGAACTTGAGCTCACCTTGTAGCCCAGGCTGGTCTCAAACTTTCAAGATCCTCCTGTTTCAGCCTCCTAAGTGCTGGAATTACAGGCATGCACCATCACACCTGGCTTCAGTGTTTTTTGTAAAGTTACCACGTTGTATAATCATCATCATAAATCAATTTCAGAATATTTTATTTATTCTAATAAAATCTTTTATATCTTTTACTAGTACATATATATATATATTTTACTAGTAAAAGGTATGATATATATATAGATGGTAGACTTACCATCTACACTAGGGAACTGCTAGTATACTTTCTGTCTCTGTAAATCTTTCTTTTTCTGGACATTTCATATAAATGCTATACTTTATGTGGTCTTCTGTGTCTAGTTTTTTTAAGTTAAGGTAATGATTTTGAATTTCATCCACTGAAGTATATGTAAATAAATCATTCCTGTTTTATTGCCAAATAGTATTTCGTTGTATAGTAAAATGAGTTTCTTATTTCTGTTTCTTTCAGTATGATACTATGTGATCCTGGCAGATAATATTTGTAGTGATACTATCAATTTTCATTGTAAATGTGTTTATATATGTGAATCTTATATACATATATCTTACTACATGTTTTAATCTTATTTCTGCAGTATTCATTCTGTTACGGTTTTTTGGAGGGGAATTTTCTTTCAGGGCATGAGAGAGTAGAACAATCTGGAAAGCCTCCCAACACTAGGCTAGACCCACTAGAGCCCCTTGAGCCTAGATATTAGTTCTAGAACAAACGAAAACTGGCACCCTGTCAAGCACATGAAGCATAGTAAATATTTGTCAAATGCATAAATTGTAGAAACTCATGACTAAATATCTTTATATTTGTCTGCTAAAAGGGTCCTAGAAAAGGGCATTTGGAGACTAATCAGATGTGTCTTTTTTTTTAAGATCTGTCCTTTAGATCCAGATCTATCACTTATTTTTTACATGCCCTAGGGTTTTTTTTTACGTAGCAAAGTTTATTTGAAAAGGTAAAAGTAAGCATGACAGAGAAACTGGCTTTTCAGAGTCAACTTGGACCAAGTAAAAGAAGAAAAAGCAAGATAAAAAGTACACCCTGGAGGGTACAAGGTGGGCTATTGTGAGGAAAGCCATGAGAGCCTAGTCTTGGGTACTTGGGTCTCAATTTTTCATCATAAAGTGTTGATTTATATGATCTTTAATGACCCTTCCAGTGCCAAGATGTTATGGTTTTATGAAATCTCCATCTGATTTAAAGAAATATTCTTCTTACCTTTTTCTAGCTTTGCTCAAAATGCTCACTGTTGAAGAAGGGAAGGGACAGGAATACTTTAGAAATGTCTCCCTGCTCACCCCACCAGCTGTAAGGAGGAAGAGGAGGGCAAATCATTGAAAATTAACACAAAGAGGCCCCTTAAGCAGTCTTGCACAAGATATTAAGGTCTGTAAAAGAGCTATTCAATAGAACTTCTTATAATAACCAGAATACTTTATTACAATCCAGTCCAGTAGCTATTAGCTACCTGTGGCTACTGAGCACTTGAGATATAGTTGGCAACATTTTCATTTTATTTAATCATTTTAGTTTAGCTACATGTAGCTAGGGACTGCTGTATTGAAGAGCCCAGGACTATATCCTAGTGCCCTTTTCTCATGTTATCTCTGTACATCCCATACTTACAATTACTCTTGTATATCTTAGATTTACGTGGCTTCTCTTTCCCCTTTCCTTTTTTTTTTTGTCTTTGTCTTTTCTTCTGGTACCACGAATCGAACTCACGACCTTGCGCTTGCCAGGCAGGCACTTTGCCACTGAGCTAAATCCCCAGCCCCTTACATGGCTTCTCTGTTCCCTACACGTTAGTAAGGATCCATGGCTACATGTCATTTTACATACTTGTCTGAATAATCCTAGAATCCTACAACCAGAAGATATCACAAAGAAACAATTAGTTCATTTTCCTCCATTTAGGAAGATGAATGCCTAAAAAGTTTAATAGCCTTCCTTACAAGGTTAATATTGCACATTTGATTCATTCACTCATTCAAAAGCCAAGATACTAATTTGAATTTTTTTTTAAACTGGGGATTAAATCCAGGGCCTTTGCACTGAACTACATCCCCAGCCCTTTTTTACATATTTTTAAAAATTTGAGACAAGGTCTTGCTAAGTCAATAAGTTGCTCAGGCAAGGCTTGCATTAATAGTTCTCCTACCTTGGGCTTCCTGAGTGTTGGGATTACAGGCATGAGACATTTTGAGAAGTTGCTTAATCACAGAATCATTCCCGAAAAAGTTGCTCTGATGAAATGAGAGTCAAGAATGGAGACAACGTGGAGGAATTTTTGAGAAGAGTAAATTCATCTTTGAAGGAGCAATTGTAGAGATATAGGATTACCTTTCACATATGGTATTCTGCTTTCTATGCATACAGTTACATATACTGTACTTCTTTATAACCCATGCAACATCACTATTTTCAAGGAGACAAGCTCTAACTCATAATATTAACTCCAGTGTTTATTATTCTGCCATTATAGCTATATACTAAGAACCTTGAAAGTCTTTTCATCTTTGAATTCTCTTTTAAACACCTTTATAAGACTTCTGCCACAAACTGTTACTATCAGTTAGCTTTTAATCAGAGACATATTGTCAGCCAGGTAAAAACAAGAATTAATAAGATAGCCAGCTAAAAATAAAATAAAAAGAGAATAAAGAGCAAGAAGGAGAGGTAACCAGAAACATAGTTTTACATATTTCTCTAAAATCAGTACTAGGTGTCTTCCTAAAATTAGTGCAATTCCTGTTCCAGATTTCTCAGAGCAGATCAGTGGCCATTCTTTGATTATTGATTACTTTCTCACTTAATGTTCCTCGTATCCTTTTTTTGGTTGGAGGAGGTACCAGGAATCAAACTCATGGTATTCATTCTGTTATGTGCTTGCCAGGCAGATACTGTGCCACTGAGCTATATTCCCCACCCTCACTTAAATGTTTCCTGATTGCTAGCAATCACATATGGTTTCTGCCTTAGAAAAGAATAGCTTAGTTTTCACCCTGCCATTTCCTTAAGGTGTTTTGTTAAAATTTTTTCATCATAAAGGCCTAGTGAGAAACAATTACTCTTTAAGGATTTTTTTTACAGTGTCTGATACAAGTAAGGACTTTTTGTTTGACTTGCAGTGTTAACGATCAGACCCAGAGCCTCACATATACTAAACACAAACTACCAATGCACCACACCCCAGGCTAATAGGAAGAGAATTTTATGTTCTAGTTTGTTGGATCTAATATTCTTATATCCAAAAGGCTTATTTGACCCTACCCTGAAAATATTAACCTTGGCCTATTATACTTTCTGCTGATCATGTTATACACAGAATTTTATTCTGTCCACAAAGTTTGAAAACATTCACACTTATCTGGCTGTAAAAGAGAAAATGACTAAATTATTATTAAAAGATGGAGGATTAATTTGTGATTTCATATTTGCCTTTCTCCTAAGAGAGTTTGCATAGGTATTCAATTCTTATATTAAACTACTTCTTGAAAGCTCTCTTCATGACTTTTTATTATACTTTTTAGAATATAGTAATACAGATACAATTTTATCATTTGCAATACTAAAGAACGATCTACTTCATGAATTATTTATTTATTTATTTATTTAGACAAGGTCCCACTATGCAGTTCAGATTGGCCTTGAACTCACAATGTAGCTTAGGCTGGTCTTTTTTTTTTTTTTTTTTGGTCTTTTTGAGACAAGGTCTCACTATGTAGTTCAGTCTGGCTTTGAGCTCACTTTGTATCCCAGGCTGGTCTCAAACCCACAGTGATCCTCCTGCCTCAGCCTCCTGAGTGCTGGGATTACAGGCATGCGCCACCACACTTGGCCTACTTCATAAACTTTATAGCAATTATTGTTTGATAGAAGCAAACTGGCTTTTGGAAATGTTTTTTATTCTATTGAATGGTGAGATATAGTATTTATTTATTGTAATTATTGACAATGTTCTAAGACATTTTTCTTTTATTTTCATAGGTGGTAGATTATACCTGTCAAATTGGTCAGATAGCCTTTGTTTTATCAAGGTAAGATTTTTTTCTTTCCTTCCAAGTAGGACATAGACTCTGATTAGTCTGGTGTCAGTGTGGGAACAAATAGTTCCCATTGTCACTCCTAAATCCTCAGAGAGCCTTACTAAATAGGAAGCAACAAATACATGATCACTGGCTCTATTTTCCCATGTGGACTAAAGAAGCAGTTGATATTATAGAGTTGAGCTCTAAGATTTTGAACCTCTAATTCTTTTTCTTATATCATAAAGATTTGTCATAGATGATCTTCAAGATCTTACCTACTTTACAATATTGAGTGACTCTTTAAGACTATAAAGTCCTAAAAGCGTCTGAATCTCACCTAAAGTGGTAATCACATCATGGGTGGTTTTAGACTTTGTAAATTTTGCTCCTAAATCTCCTCATACAGGGAGTTGGCTGTATTTTGCTGGCTAAATAGCTGACTTTGTAAAGTTACATGTTGAAAAGGCACCTAGATGAGGGTAAATGAGAATGAAGTTATTCCGGGCCACTGTTGGTGGAGTTCCCTTTCGCTTTGACCCATTTAGATATTTTTTTTGTCTTTTTTTTAGACAGGGTCTCACTATACAGTTCAGGCTGGCCTTGAGCTCACATTGTAGCCCAGGCTCATCTCGAACTTGCAGCGATCCTCCTGCCTCAGCCTCCCAAGTGCTGGGATTACAGGCATGCACCACTATGCCTGGCTTTGACCCACTTAGATTTATATCTGACCGCACAATACCAGATTCTCCATGAAACTGTTAAGAGTTCATTAACCTAAGTACAAAATCTAATTTCCACTGTACTTTCCAAGGAACTGGAAAATAATGAGAAATAAGGCTTGCAAAATGTTTCTCTTGAAAAAGTAAATGTATGTATGTGTATATATATATGTATATATATATATATATATATATATATATATATATATATATATATATATATATATATATATATATATATATATATATATTTGCTGAGATTGGTGGGGTGATGCATTTGGGGAAAGAGAGACTATACTGCCAGGGGGGAAAAGCCTGAAAATTTCTATATATTAGGATGATTTTTTTTCTCCCAGCCTGATACCTCTACTGTTGATGATACCTGTATTCTGTCTGGGCAATGCTAGTGAATGTTTCCGTAACTTCAGCCAGAGTCACAGGTAAGGAAGGGCCAAGTCACTCATTTTCATCATAGACTGTTGCTTTCTATAATAGAGCTGGAAAAAGACTTCCTACATATCTTCTGGCCAAGGTGCTTGTATTGGAAATAAGTACAGAAAAAAACTGTAGTCAATGTTAAAAATATGTAATAATATAACACAAAATGACAAGATAATGTGTCTGTGGGAAGGAACAAAATGTTATAGGCAAGAGTTAGCAAAATTATAAGTACAATTACTCATAAACTTGTATTGCACTGTCTCATGTCTTACATCTGTAGTGGTACTTTGTCCACTGATTCTCTTCCTAGGTGTATCCTGATGCACTCTCCACCATCAGCCATGGCTGAACTCTTGCCTTCGGCCAACATAGCCATCTGCAGCACACTTTATTTTTATGGTATCATCATTTTCCTGGCCAGTTTTTTACTCAGCCTCTTCACCATTATGGTATGGTACCACCCTATGCGCCTCTGTGGAAAGAAGGGGGACTGAAAGGGGAAGGCCAGTATTCTTGGAGCCTGGGAGAGATGGGGCAGAGAGGCACTTCCTATGGTCATAGCACTAAGAAGGTAGCCAAGAGATCATGACAATGTAATTGCTACCTCAGTTTTTGGATTTCCCAAAATTAAATGGTGGGGGAAGGAGAACTTGTATTCATTATGTAAAAATTATGCTAACTCTAGAACTAATATGTTTTGTTGATCCCCATGAAAGACAATACCAAAAAATTCATATGATTGGTGTATATATATTTTACTTATTTATGTGCAATATCAGTTAGACTTTTTTATTAGTACATATTTGCCATACATAATGATCACATTCATAGAGAAATTCATAGAGAATTTCTACCTGTAATAATATATCTTAATTTTGCTTTTTTCCCATTCCCCTCCCTACCTTTCAACCCTTCTTCTCTTCCCCGTTTACAAAAGCATTGTTTCCAATTTTCCTTCCATTCTCTCTCTTTCGCTCTCTCTCAGCTTTTGAATCTTTCCCAATTTATTTATTTATTTTTCTTTCTGTTTTTTTATTAATACATACTTATCATACAAATTGATCACATTCATCATAGGGAATTTGTACCTGTACATAATGTATCTTAAAATTCTTTTTTCCCCATTCCCCTCTCCTTCCCTTTAATCCTTTTTCCTCTCCCCACTTACAAAAGCTTTGTATCTATTTTTTCCTCTCCATTCTTTTTTCCCTTTTCCCTTCCTTCCCTTCTCCCTCCTCCCTCCCTTGTTCTCCTTCCCATTAGAACATGTTCTTCCTACTTCCCAGTATGCTCCTTATTTACCCTTTGGGTTTCTCCAATAAGAGGAATAATTTGATATTTAAACTTGTGTGTCTGATTTATTTCACTTAAGATTATGATCCTGAAGCTGGGCGTGGTGTTGCACGCCTATAATCCCAGCACTTGGGAGGCTGAGGCAGGAGAATCATTGTGAGTTCAAGGCAGCCTGGACTACAAACTGAGCTCAAGGCCAGCCTGAACTGCATAGTGAGACCCTGTCTCAATAAGAAAAAAAAAATTATGATCTTGAGATGCATACATTTTCCTACAAATGACTCAGGTTTATCATTTATGCCACAGTAGTACTCCATTGTATATACTACCACATTTTCTTTATCCATTCATCTTTCAATGGGCATATAGGCTGTTTCCAGGATTTAGCCCTTATAAATTGTGCTGCTGTAAACATGGATATGCACTGTGGTATGATGCTTTTTCTCTTTTGGGAAGATACCTACAAGGAGAATAGCTGGGTCAAATGGAACCTCTAGTTTTGGTTTTTTGAGGAATCTCCATAGTGATTTTCATAGTGGTTGTATCAGTTTACAATTCTACCAACAGTAGAAAAGGGTGTCTTTCTCCCCATAGTCTCATTAGCAGTTTATTTTTGTTGGTACCAGGAATGGAACTCAGGACCTCATGCTTGCCAAGTAGGCGCTGTGCTGCTGAGCTAAATCCCCAGCCCCTACTGGTTGATTTCTTGATGGTAACCCTTCTTTCTGCAGTGAATGGAATCTCAGTGTTGTTTTAATTTGCATTTCTTGAATGACCAGTGATGTTGAAGATTTTTTCATATATTTATTTGCTGTTTTTACTTCTTCATCTGAGAAATATGTATTCATTTCAGTTGCCCATTTTTGGATCAGATTTGTAAATTTGAGGGGTCTGATTTTTTTCAGTTTTTTATATATTCTAGCTGTTCCTTTGTCTGGGGAGTAGCTGGTAAAATTTTTTCCCACTCTGTAGATTGTCTCTTTACTCTGTTGGTGGTTTCTTTTGCTGTGCAAAAAATTTTTAATTTGATGTGATCCCAGTTGTTGATTTCCTGTGCTATTAGTGTTTTGTTCATAAAGTCTTTCCCTGCACCTGTGTCTTCAAGAGTTTTTACCTGTTCTATCTCCTAGGAGATTAAGTGTTTTTGTTTTAATATTTAGATCTTTGATCCATTTCAATTTTAGTTTAGTGGGTGATGAGAGATACGGGTCTGGTTTTAATCTTCAGTATATGGAAAGCCAGTTTTCCCAGCACGGTTTACTAAAGAGGCTGTCTTTCTTCCAGTGAAGGTGTTCAGCCCCTTTATCAAATATAAGATAGCTGAATATGCTTGGAGTTGCTTCTGTATCTTCTATTCTGTCCTGTTGACTCTCTTGTCTGTTTTTTTGGACAGTACCATGCTGTTTTTATCACTGTAGCTTTGTAGTATAACTTCAAATCAGGGGTTGTATTACTGCCTGTCTTGCCTTTTTTTTTATTTTAAAGAGTGAAAGAAGGATAACATAGCAATGGGGGGGTTACCAAATTACAGACAAAGTGGTAGGAAATTATCAATGGTTATTGTTTTACATATTGTTATCTACAGGGTAGTTTCTCAGGAAAACAAATAGACAAATAATAGTGAGTTACAGACAAAAGAGGTAAGAGATTATCAATAGTTGTTGTACTATACTTTGGTATCTTGAGAGTGGCTTCTAAAGAAAATAAATAGAGCTATATATGAGTGACCAATTGAATAATCATTGACTGTTCTCAATGGTTGTTGTAGGAAACACATAATAATAAACATATATCCATTTATGAAATAGCATAGGAACAATACAAACATTACAGAGTTATGGACAGATGAGTAGGAAAATACCAATGGCTGCTATAATACATGGTGGTATCTTCAAAGTGGTTTCTCAGGAAGACAGAGATACACAGGAAAGATCTAACAAGTAGTTACAGCCTAAGGGTTGTGAAAAATAGCAGATTACCTCCTCACCAGTGACTTCTTTCACTGAGGTGTGACGCCTGGAAGGAAGGCCAGGATTGAAAAGAAGGACCAAGAGACTTGTACCTGTGTCTAGCAACAGGCTATTTTCTTGTTCCTCTATAGTCATGATTACCCAGGGCTCCTCCATGTAGATGACAGTCTGGCCAGAGGGAGAAGGCAGAGTATGCCCGGGCCCCCTCATTCCTGTTGGACTACCTGGTAGGATGGGTCTGAGCTCTGGGGCCTCTGCTTCAGAGGGCGGACTGATCTCCAGTGGTCACCTTTGCATTCAGGGCATGGCCCATGGGGCCTCTTAGGCAGTTCCTCTTGAGGTGGCCTGGCTTTTAACAGTGATAGCAGATGAATGCAGTCATTGAGTTCTTGTTGGGGCCCCGAGAATCAGACTTAGGGTCTGTTTCTCTTAGTGCTGCAGCAAAAGCAGCTGCTTTTTCTCAGTCTCTTTGTTTTCTCTCCTTGGCCTCCTCCTCATCATGGCTATAGAATACTGAGGAGGCAATTCTTACTAACATCTCAAGTGAGCCATCTGGGGTGAAAGCCATTTTTTGTAGCGTTTTCTCTCCAGCCCTGTCTTGCCTTTGTTGACCAGAATTGCTTTTGCTATTCTAGACCTCTTCTAATTTCATATGAATTTTGGGATTGTTTTGTCTAGTTCTGTGAGGTATGCTGTTGGTATTTTGATTTGGATTGCATTAAATCTGTATAACAATTTTGGATGTATGGCTCTTTTCACTATATTGATTCTGCCTATCCAGGAATGGGACATCTTTCCATTTTCTGATATCTTCTTTGATCTTATTTAGAGTACTGTAGCTTTCAGTGTAAGAGTCTGTCACTTCCTTTGTTAGATTGATTCCTAAGTATTTCATTTTTCTTGATGCTATTGTGAAAGGTATTGTTTCCTGGATTTCTCTCTCAGTGAGGTTATTATTTGTGGAATGCTATGGATTTTTGAGTGTTGACTTTGTATCGTGCTGTGCTGCTGAATTTGATTATTAATTTTAAGAGACTTTTGGTGGAGTTTTTGCGGTCTTCTTTGTAGAATATCATGTCATCTGCAAATAATGACAATTTAGTTTTTTCCTTTGCTATCCGTATTACTTTTATTTCTTTCTGTTGTCTAATTGCTCTGGCTAATGTTTCTAGAACTATATTGAACAGCAATGATGATAGTGGGCATCCTTGTGTTCTTCCTGATTTTAGAGTGAAATCTTTGTTTTGACCATTTAACATGATGTTGGCCATTGGTTTGTCATAGGTGGCTTTCGTCAAATTGAGATAAAGACTTTTGCCTGGTGTGGTGGCACAGGCCTGTAATCCCAGCATCAGGAGGCTGAGGCAGGAGTATCACTGTGAGTTTGAGGCCAGCCTGAGCTGCATAGTGAGTTCAAGTCCAGCCTGAACTGCATAATGAAAACCAAGACCAAAAAAAAAAAAAAAGAGAGAGACAGAGAGAGAGAGAGAGATAAAATCCTTCTATTCCACTTTTCTGTATTTTTTTTTTTATCATGAATGGGTGTTAGACTTTGTCAAATGCTTTTCTGCATCTATTGAGATGATCATATGGTTTTTGTTTACTAGGGGTTAGGGTTATTTATTTTTGAGACAGGGTTTTGCCTTATAATTTAGGTAGGCTTTGAACTCATTATGAGCCCAGACTAGCCTCCAACTCAAATTGATCCTCCTGCTTCTGCCTCCCATATGCCTGGATTACAGGTACGCAGTTTATCTTTTATGTAGGATGCCATTCTGAGACATAGGACATATGCTTTGATTTAATTTTCCAAATAATGTATATTTTTAACTTTTTAGCCATAAATTTGCATTTATGCTATGTCTAACTGGTTAAAATGTTAAGTAATTGATGCAGTTATCATATGCAGTACTCATTTGATATCACCAGAATGATGTAGAATTAAAATAATCAACTAGATGATATATGATTATGTATCATGATTGTATACAGAGTACAAACATAGTAAGCAAGCAAATGTGCCTTTTTATTTTCCATATCTACTTAATTTTCAGTATTATTTTCTCTTCTTATATTCAGTTCAGGAATTACAAACTACCTACAGACCAGTTTTATCCTAACAGTTTTGTTTTATCCTAACAGTTTTGTTTTCTAGCACCTATAAACCAGATGTAATTACATGGGTATTTCCTTTGACAATTCTAAAGTAGGTTTAAGCTTATCTCATCATCAGCTTTGTAAAGAGAAAATAGTGAGCTGGTCATGGTAGCATATGCCTGTATTCCTAGCACTCAGGAGGCTGAGGCAGGAGGATTGCCAATGAGTTTGAGGCCAACCTAGGCTACATAGAGCATTCAGGCCAGCCTTGACTGCATAGCAAGACTCTGTCTTTAAAAAAAAAAAAAATAACTAATTCATCTTAAAATGCCTTTGAAGACTTACATTTGGAACTGATTAAGAAGAGAGATGGGTCCACCAAGGCTAGCACCCTGAAAATTATTCTTCAGACTAGCAGAAATAGCATTCTAGATTCCTTTAAAATCAACAGATGGGGCCAGGGATATAGCTCAGCAACACAAGTGCCTGCCTGGCAAGTGCAAGGTCCTGAGTTCGATTCCCAGAACCAAAAACAAAGATATAAAATCAACAGATGGTCTGGGTGTAGTGGCATATGCCTATAATCCCAGCACTCAGGAGGCTGAGGCAGGAGGATTGCTGCAAGTTTGAGGCCAGCCGGGGCTACATAGTGAGTTCTACATAGCTATATATCCCCCCAAATGAACAGATGGTAGTGGGCACAAGGGCTTCTGCCTGTAACCCAGCTACTTGGACAGCCAAAGGGAGGATTGCAAGTTTAAGGTCAGCTGGGAAATTTGGTAAGGGCTTGTTTCAAAATTAAAAAAAAAAAGCTGATGATGTGACTCAGTGCTAGAGGGCCCTTAAATTCAATCTCTGGCACCAAAAACAAAACACAAAACAAAACCAGAAAAAGACAGAAAGGAAGGATGAAAGACAGGAAGAAAATGAATCAACCAATAGTTAACTGATTGTTCTAGACATAAACATTCTCAAATACATTCTAGCTTCCTTTGGATCTTTCTGTCTGTGTGGAAAGGAGACTATGGCTGAACTTGATTAGGCAGTTGGGTTGTTAGAGAATGGATCTGGACTACTAGGAAAAAATTCAGATTTGGTAAGATTTGCTACCAAGATTATTTATTTACTCCCTACAAAAATACCACACTGGACTTCTAAACCCATTTGAATTTCTTTCATAACCTAAACTTTACTCAAATTGCTGGCAAATGAAAGAGAAAAATAATCCATTTTCCATCTAAAGACACAAAGAGACTTTCTAAAACTTCTTTTTGCTTACAGTTGAGAATTTAAGCCATACTGCTAGCATATTCTAAAGGTATGAAATGTAAAGCACTTTCCAACAGAATATCTAATATAAATATAAAGATTTTTAAAAGAGGATCTAATTAGAACTTTTCTTGGTGGGGAGGCATTTTCAGGAACTGAACTCAGGACCTCACACTTGCCAGGCAGGTGCTGTACCACTGAGCTAAACCCCGGCCTCTAGAACTTACTTTTTTTTATTTTTTATTTTTTGAAACAGGATCCCACTGTATAGTTTAGGCTACCCTTGAACTCACTATGTAGCCCAGGGTGGCCTCAAACTTGTGGCAATCCTGCCTCAGCCTCCTGAGTGTGCGATTACAGGCATGCACCACCACACCTGGCTAGAATCTACTTTTAACTTCCTGTGTATGTTGTAATTAGGCTGGGGGGTGATTTAAGGGATTGATGTAAGGGTCATAAATTGAACATGATAACCTGGAGTTTGACTAGTATCTATTCATTTCCTTATCCAGGTATAAGTTCAATTTGAATAATTCTCTCTCTCAAAAAAAGGCATGGTTTCAGAGGATAAAAACAGAGTGGTCTTTCCTATTGTGAGATGCTTAGAAAATGATCCTTGTAAAATGATAGGAAATTTTAGTAAGCATTAGGCATACTACTCACTGCTTCACTCATCTTTAGGTCTTACTCATCCAAGCCCAGATATTGTATAAGAAATTTGTGAAATCAACTGGCTTTCTGGGAAGTGAACAGTGGGCAGTGATTCATATTGTGGAGCAGCGTGTACGCTTCTACCCAGTGGCCTTTCTATGCTGCTGGGCCCCAGGTGGGTACCTTAATAGAAGAGGGCACCTGTTTGACTCTGATCAAGCAAAGTGATTTCACCAAGACAGATGACTACAAATACCCATCCAGCTTGTGAAATTTATATTGGCCCCACCGTATTTCCAGTTTCCCCCAACTTGCCAACTTCTTTTTCTTCTTATGTAGAAATTAATTAAGCATATATGCAACCTGAAATAAAAGGGAAAATGTCCCAACAGGACTTCGATGTTTATACCTGCCCTTACTGCTATATATGGTTGCTATAAAAATCAGATTGGATAATGTTTATGAAAGAGATTGGTAAATTCTGAAATGCTAAGAGGTGTAAACAATTATCTTCCCGTACTACACTTTGTCATCACTGCCACACTAACCATCTATAAAGTTTAATCAATAAGGAGTAGAAGTCAGAGGTCAAAGGCCCAATGGTTAATCTCACTGCTGGTCTTCTTCTCTTCCTTCTTCTCCTTCTCCTTCCCCTTCTCCTTCTCTTTCTCCTTCTCTTCCTCCTCCCCCTCTTCCTCCCCCTCCTCCTCCCCCTCCTCCTTCTCCTCCTTCTCCTCCTCCCTCTCCTCCTCTTCGTCGTCGTCCTCCTCCTCCTTCTCCTCCTTCTCCTCCTCCTCCTCCTCCTCCTGCTCCTCCTTTTCCTCCTCCTGCTCCTCCTTTTCCTCCTCCTCGTCCTCCTTCTCCTCCTCCTCGTCCTCCTCGTCCTCCTCCTCCTCCTCCTGTCCTCCTCATCCTCCTCCTCGTCCTCCTCCTCGTCCTCCTCCTCGTTCTCCTCCTCATCCTCCTCCTCGTCCTCCTCGTCCTCCTTGTCCTCCTCCTCCTCCTCTTCCTCTTCCTCCTCTTGTTCCTCCTCCTCCTTCTCTTCCTCCTTCTCTTCATCCTTCTCCCTTCCTTTCTTCTCCCTTCCTTTCTTCTTTCTTCTTCTTCTTGAGGTAGATCCTTGCTATGTAGTTGCAACTGGCCTCAACTCACTATGCAGGCTGACCTTGAGCTCATTATGTAGCCCAGGCTATCCTCAAACTTGAAGGCTCCTCCTGCTTCAGCCTCCTAAGTGCAGGGATTACAGGTGTGCACCACCACACCCGGCTTCACTATTGATCTCTGATATGCCTATAGCTTCCATTCTAATAATACCCAGGCATGTGTACTTGGGAACTTTATGCTGTAGGCGGTAAAGGCTAACAGTAAGATTTACATATTGTGTATTAACAGCTATCATTCTGATGATCATAAAGCTCACCGAGCCATGGGACACCAAACTGCATATTGCCCTCTATATTCTCCAGGTAACACCTTCAAAACCTAGAATCTCTGTTCTTGTACCCTTATTCTATTCACTTACACTGCCAGTACTCAGTAAATACAATTTTATCCTCTAATGATATTTATTTCTACATTGCAAAACAAAAGATACTTAGTCACTGTTTGTTCAGTTATTTCCATCTCAGTTATAAAATGTTTAGTTACGAAGAATGTGGAAATTTTCTCAGAGCAAGGTAGATGCTTTAGTAAAAGTGCTGCAGTGTACTCCAGATCATACATATCTCTGGTCAACTTTGTTTTATTTGGTGTGTGTTTTTTGGGCAGTAAAAATAAAAAAAAATATCTACCAGGACATATTCTTAGGAAACACTGGTAGTAAATTAAGTAGGATAAATTAGCTATTATTAGTAAAGGGAGGGTAATGGAATAATTCTCCTTTTCCTCATTTATCAGATTGAAGAAGACTTTTTGGACTAAGGATAGGGCAATTTTGGACTATCTAACTGATAGAGCAACTTTCTCTGAAAAATGGATCAATAAGAGGCACATTGAAGCTATTTCATTGACCTTATGTGTATATTAAGGAATATGACAAAATCTCAGTCACCTATGACAAGATACAGTTAAAGCATGAGTCTAGAAAGTGCTAGACAAATACAAAATCATGTACCAGCTCTTGATGTTTGAGAGAGAGAAAATGTAAAAGTGCTTTATAAGTAAGGGTTAAGGGGGCAAGGCATGGTGGCACACACCTGTAACCCCAGCACTCAGGAGGCAGAGGCAGGAGGACCACCTCAAGTTCAGGCCAGCCTGGACTACATAGTGTATTCAAGGCCAGCCTCAACTACATAGCAAGGACCTACCTCAAAAAAACAAAAAAACAAAAAAAAAAAAAAAAAAGATTGTGGGGGAGGATAAGGGGATTATTCCTAGATATCTGAAAATCTGAAGGATGGGCCCCATCATTCCTTCATCTCCTCCAGGCTCTAACAGCAGCATCCCAGGGTCTGCTCAACTGTGGAATATATGGCTGGACACAGCACAAATTCCACCAACTAAAGCAAGAAGCTCGACGAGATGCGGATACACAAACGCCATTGTTATGCTCACAGAAGCGGGTCTATAGCAGATGCCTAGATCCACTGAAGTCTACTGTTGCTTTTGGTACCAGCTCTTCCACCATTCTTTGAAACTATAATACTGGAACATTCAGTAACTGGAGTTATTTCACACTAATGGATTGAGAAGATTGTTTTAGGGGGCACATTGTATATCTTTCCTAAGCATACCATAGACTTCAGAACTGAAAGGAAATACAGTGCCATAGTTAGTAACTATTCTAGGTGAATTGGGAAGGATCTTTCCAGTTAAACTCTTCATAGAGATAAAGGCACTTTTCATCTAAGAGATGGATTAATTTACTTTGATGAGTGTTAGATTTGTCTAAGTCTCTTCTAGAAACAAATAAATTCCAGGTTATTATTTGTATGTGTTCTTTCCAGACTCTACTCCATGGTTGCAGTGCAAGGAGGGGGATGTGCAACAGCTTGCTCAGAGATTCCTGTTGCGTTCTCTGAGAGTGAATGTGGAGTCTGGTTTTCCTTTCTTTAAAGAGTTTTGAAACCCGGAAACAGCTAGGAAAACATTTATTTTAAAAAGTGACAGTGGGACGCTTAGACACATCTTATTCAAGTTTCATATGTTTAGATCTATTTTAGGACTTCAACAGAAGCACAATCCTGTACTAGAAAATTAAGACCAATCTTTTGAAGTCACAAAGATAATAAATTTTAAGGGAAATCAGAACTATAAAAACTTCTAGGAATAAGTAACTCTCAACTCTCGTTTACAAGCAGAATTCCAAGGTTGGTTTCATAGTTTCTGAACATGTAAAATTAGATTGACCTATATTAACTGGCTATTTTTACAAATGAAAATAGTCTCAGGCAGTTCATTTCATGTGGTTCAGCCTAATAACAAGCACTAAACATATGTTTATAGGATGAATGAGCAGATGATGATGAATGATTATAGGTACAATTTAAACTTTTTGAGAATGAAAAGGTTCCCAGAACACAGAGCATCATTAAGAGGTAGGAATGTCCATCTGACCCATTTTTTCCCTCTCAAATCGTATAACAAATACGTTTGGTCTCTCCAGTTAAGTTATGAACAAGGCCAATTTAAGATCTTGGCATCAAGTATCATGTTGCAAAACAAGGGGGGAGCTAAATGGACAATATGGCTAGAATGATAATAAGTCAAAACATTGGAACTAATAAGCGTATATGGATCTGATAAATTCTTTCCAAGGTAAAATCTTTAAGATCAGAGAAATTGACCAGATTATGATGGAAGGTTAAGCAGGATGCTATGAAAAGTAAATTCTAAAGATCTTTCCGAAGGAGTTATATAGAAATATTAGGTAACTCAGTAATAGCTCTTGAAGTTTTAGGGCATGTGCTTCATGAAAGTTATGGAGGGCCACCAGGCCTTATTCTGTCGATCACATTTTGAAGCTTCTCATTGTCCCAAAGCTCTGAAGACCTGATTTCAGGATAGCACAGAACAAGAAAGATTACCTCACCCGGGTAGCTGCTTTAATTTTTTTAAATTTAAAAACCAAAAGCATTCATATAGAAAAATAGATGGAACCAAGAAAGAATGCCCAGTTCCGTAGTTACTGAAGGGGACCAGACCTAAGATGTCCAATTTTTAAAAGACCCTTTCAGTATTACTTTGTACTTGCCTTTATTATCAGAAAGAGGGTAATTAGTAAATGTTTCTCAAGAGTTCCTCTGATGACTTTTTTTTTTCATTGATACTGGTCTTAGATATTCTGTGGGTATAGACAAAAAGGTAATAGGAGCAAGAAATAGTCAGAGTCTCAACAAGACCCAAATTAGGATTGTAAGTTTTTTCTCATACTGAAGGTCACAGGGGATATGTAGAGCTGGGTCACTGTTCAAACTGTTTAGATAGCCCTAAGAGAGATATAGCCATAGACATGCAAGGAGTTCTTAAAATTATTGTAAACTCCTCTCAGATGACACTTTTCCAAGTTGCAGTCATAGTGAAGTACAAGGGCATCTAAGTAAGTTTGATGATACAGATTTTTTGTGGATCACATTGACTGCAATCTTTTACCTCCCCCTTATCATTCCTGTCTACAGCTTCAGAAAACTCTACACGCCTGTATCTCATGTCTTGGAGAACTGAGTAAGTTTTCAATGTGTTTCAGTCTTTGGGAGCCTTGGATGCTTTTGCATAGAAGTTTTCATATTTTACATCTTTGCCCTTGAACTTGTTCAAGACCTTACACATTCTTTCAAGGTCATTACCGTAGTTTCCAAACTTGTCTCATTAATAATAGTAACAATGTTTCCAGGCAACCATTAGGCTCTTTCCAAAGATTTTACGGCACTAATTGTCCAGGCTTCTGCACTGGCCCTGGTAAACATGACCTTATTCTTTGCAAGGGGTACCTCCTTAGTTGTGTGTCTGTCTGGCATCACATGGAGAGACTATTACAGTCACACTCATGTACCTTGAAGTAGAAGTATGTGGTTCTTTTAGAAGTTTGTATTTTTTTGCATCAGGATCTAAATGCATAATCTGAACCCATTTTTAGTCAGCATGAGAGCAGACAACAGTGATCATTCTTTTTTTTTTTATGACAGGGTTTCACTATGCAGTTCAGGCTGGACTTAAACTCTCTCTGTAGCCCAGGCTGGCCTCAAACTCACAGCAATCCTCCTGCCTCAGCCTCCTGAGTGCTGGGATTATAGGCATGTGCCACCATGCCTGATAACAGTGATCATTCTGACAATGAAGCTGCCGTCATATTCTTCTCCTTTATTCATTATCTTGTTCTCTCCAAATGGCTTTCCAAAGGTGCTTTGGAGCTTAGACTTACTGAACAAATAGTCCTTACAGCTGCTGAAAGTAGTGGAAGCTGAATTGCTGAAGCCCACAGCTACAATAATGAATCCATTGCATTGTACAGAGGTTCTGGCCATAACCCTTATAAGCCACTTAGTCATGTTAAGTTCGGGCCAACCTCATGAGCCACAAGAACTGAAGAATAGGGTATAGATAATTCAATACTGGTTGCATTCTTAGCAGTATAGACACTGAGAAATATATAGCCCTTATACTTCCCAAGATTTGGGCCATTGATTATATAGAGAGCACTATATTTCACACTTCCCAAAGGATGTGTTGAAATGTTTTCTGTAGTTTCAAGGAAATTTGCACTGTTTCTCTCTGTACATGTTTTGAACTTCTCAAACACTTCACCGATGCATGTATATCTGTTAACATACGTTGTCTGACTTTTCACATTTCACATTAAGAACCACTTATTGTCAACTATAATAAATATTTCTTCAGATTTGAGAAACATATCTGCAGATATTTCTGTCTTAGTTACTTTTCTTGTTGCTGAGACAAAGTATCCAACACCCAAGTTAAAAGAGGAAGGGTTTATTGTAGCTCATAATAGTTTTTAGAGGTTTTAGTTCATAGCTGGCTGGCTCCAAGGCAGGGTAGCATGGCAGAGAGGCATCACAGATCAGAAGCAGTTCATGCTGGGCAGGAGGAAGCAAGCAGCAAAGTAGAGAAGCAGCAGGTGACAACAGCAGCCTTCTTTTTTTTGTCCTTTGTGTTCTATACAGGCTACCTGCCTTTAAGGTGAGTAGCACACATGCCCAGGGTAGGGTACCCTTAATCCTAGCATCACGCCACGAATCAGTATCAGCGTCACATCCTTAATCCCAACATCACACACTGTAGCTACAGCCACCTCTGAAAAGCCCCACGTATGACTGCATGAGGCTTTGGGGGAATGTCTAGATATAAGCCAAAACAGGTTCTGTCCTGCTCTGATACTGTGAAGTTGTTAAGAGTTCCCCTTTTTATCTCTACTGACCGCACAGGACTCACCTGATTTCACAGATATGTTATAAATCACGTATAAAATACATACTCAGAATTACTAAGGTATATATAGGCTTAATGCCAA